TAGCTGTTTCAGCTGTTAGAAGGTATTTCAGCATTATGCTATACTGATTGAAATGGTTAGTTTTTATATATGAATACGCAGTTCTAATGCGGATAAACAGTTTTCCATTATCAAAAAACAAAACACGGTAACAGGTTGGGGCAGAAGCATTCCCGGAACCCATCGGCTGTATTCGGCGTCTGACTTCCAGCAGACGTCGATACAGCCTCTGGGGGCAGACCCCCGATTTTTTGGCATTCCGGTTTGATTTGGGCGGAGGAGGCGAAGGTAAATATGCTGAACCATTGCGATGGATTCAGAGTTCGCAGTGACGCCAATTATGTTCCGCCTCGTTAGTTCACCGCATGGACTGTTTTAACCTGGCAACAACTGCAGCTGGCTCAAACGGGATTGGTCAATATCACGCGGACTACAAACAGCCTACAACCGGAAACCAGGGCTCTTCCGCTCTTCTTCCGGAGGCAAGATCTCTGGGGTTTGCCTACAGACTCTACATTCAGTGAATGTAGCTTTCCTTCTTGACCTAGTATCCACTGGTCAGTGAAGATGTAAAAATACATACTAAAAGGGACCAAACAGAATTTTGTTTTGTGGAAGTGGGACTTCATGTCATCCTCTAATGCCCGCCTCTCTTTCTCTCCATCTCTCTGTCTCTCCCCTGCCTTACTCATTTTCATCGCTGGGTCTTCATTTGATTCTCCAAAATTGAAACAAGGTTGTAGTAGGGGCGTTGAAGCGGTTTGATGCACCACGTAATGCTTATAGTGCATGATTGGCCATTTAAAACAATGAGTGTAATTCAAAATGGAGGATCACTTTCAGTGTGTTTGGGCCTTAAAACTTAAGAAGTAAACCTAAAAATAAAGTTTTTTACCTATGTCCTCAGTTTATTTTGTGAAGAGACTGTGTATATTCAACAAGCAGAAACTCTAGATTTCCTGTGAAAACGGATTTATTTTGAAATGACGCAATGCATATAAATAGCATAAATTGACACACCAACCTTGAATGATGGAGAGGTACATAGAGCATCATGGTTGACGTGCATGGCCACCGACTAAGCCTTAGTATTAGATGGGTTGGGACTGAGAATGTATTGAAAGTATTGGATTGACAGATGGACTGATGGGGCTGTTGTAGCTTTAACAATAGAATAGAACAGAATAGAATAGAATAGAATAGAATAGAATAGAACACAGAGTAGACTAGACTAGACTAGACTAGACTAGAATACAATAGAATAGAATAGAATAGAAGAAAACTGACTCTGACCTCCGGCCCAGTGATGTGCATCATCCCCGACACAGCAGAGGCAATGGAGTCGTAGCCTGGACTCTGAGACCGAGGACCAGTCTGTCCATAACCTGAACACAAAAACACACACACACACACACACACACACACACACACAGACACAGAAACAGACAGACACACACACACACACACACACACACACAGATTATTACCTTTGTACCCAGTGGGCTGGTTCCTCTCTGACCTGAGAGGAAACACAGCGGGGAATCAAACTGTCGTCCTCTTCCAGGAAAACCACATTCCAGCTGTGTGTTGAGTCTGCCGCTCTGACTAAACAACCAGATTGATTTCCTAAAGAGTCCAGACACAGCTCATTTTCACATCAACAAAAAAATTCCCATAAATGCTTTGAAAATGATCACCTGCCCACTGACAGGACCAAACGACACATATTTAAACTCACATGTTGAGATAGAAACAACTGAGTGAAATGATGAATTCTGAGCTCCAAAGATGGAGTGAAATCAGTGAAGTTGGTATTCAAAATGTGTAACAAAGGTGGAGCTTTAGCAGCACAATCTGGTTGTTTAGAACATCCATAAAGAGGGGAGCAGTCAAAAGTCTGAAAAAACATCAGGTCATTTCTGTGCATCAATTAACCCTAAAAAATTTATTTTCTTAAAACGTGAAATACAGCAGAGGAGGATTTTTTTTAAAAATGTCTCAAACAAAACTAGAATTACTGCCTAGTGGTTGTATTCCTCCACAAACCGGTCAAGTTTCAGTTACAGTTTACATCTATGTCATCCAGACTCATATGTAGTCACAGCAGACAATGCCTCAAATATGGATGTTGCTGCAAAGAAGCTACAAACTCTAAAACATGGATGATTCACACAGAGAAGATCTATACAATCAGTACAGTTTCAAGATTAGTGTGACCAATTCATTATCTGACCAAATGTTTCCCCTTCTGTTCCTGATATGATGTTGAGTAATGGTCAGAAAAACTTATGATGTCACAGTGAAGTTAACCTTTGACCTTTTAGATATAAAATGTTATTACTTAAGTTATCATTTTATCCTACGAGACATTTGTGTGAAATTTTGCCATAACTAGCACAGGTATTCTTGAGTTAATGGCCAAAAATATGTTTTCCTCAAGGAAAATTTCCCCAAGGCATTCTTGAGATAGACACAAAGTCACGGTGACCTTGACCTTTGACCACCAAATTCTTCAGTTCCTCTTTGAGTCCAAGTGAGCATTTGTGCCAAATTTCAGATATTGGTATTCGTTCTTCAGATATTGTGTTCTCGAGAATGAGACAGACGCAAGGTCACAGTGACCTTTGAACTTTAAGCATCAACATCTAATTAGGTCATTGTTGAGTCCAAGTGGAAGTTTGTGCCAAATGTGATGAAATTTCCATTTCCAAGGCATTTTTGAGGTATCACATAATGAGACGGATGAACGGACAGCCTGAAAACATAATTGTCTATCAACATGTCAAATTGTCCACTTCAATATGTCAGACCTCAGATATTTTATATTTATCTTCGTTAAGGGTCTTTTTCTGTAAATTCTTTAAGAATTATTGTCAATGTTGAGCAATTTAAAAGCAGAAGTAGCAACAAATGATACACGTGAAAAATGAAAGACTACAAACAACATCAAATGCAAATATATGTGTCTACAAATGTGTCTTTTTATGCCACAAGAGAACATTTTGTAATGTTTTGAGAATAAGAGCTGCCACAAAAATATAAAGAAGTAAAGTAGGGATGCCTGATCAAGTTTTCTTTGGTTCTTCATATCATATCTTCTCCGGACACTAAGTCTTATCTGATACTTAAAAAGATTAACAGAGACATAAATATAGAGAGATTTTAACATAAACTGACATTAAATATCTGACACACTGAAATAACCTTATTTTTCATGAGCTACATGATCCAAATACTAAAGGTCCTGGTTCAAAACTTTGAAGTAGATCAGCTTAAATAATCAGAATTTGTTTAATAGAATGTTACTCCTGAAACTGATGTGATGTGATCAGCTAGAGAAGAGACTGGTTGTATTTCTGCCAATACCAATCTATTAAAATATTCCCCAGTTTGGCCCAGACAGCAATCTTTAGGATCAGCTTTGTGAAATAAAGTTACTAAACGTCAATGGATCATCTCTCTGTTGGTTGATTTTCATTAAAATTAAGTAAAACCAGCAACTGCATGGAGAGAACGATATCATTCTAAGAACTGATGGATAGTTTGTAAAACTATCAGCAGAAATGTAAGGGTTTACAGAATCTGTTACTAAAACTGTTGAATATGATCTATCAGCAGCTGAACATCCTGCTGTAACTGAGACCAACAACCTTTTTTTCCCTTTTGTTACAAACTGACAGGAATTAGAGTTTTTGGGGGATGGAGACATCAATCTATGAAGCATCCTGCTCAGTTTCAGACAGCTCAGGATGAAACCAGGCTATAAATCTGCCCACTGCATCCAGCTGCTGCAGCTTAATGAGGCCTCCTGGGTAATGTAGTTTTTTTCCTTAAAGAAGGAGGAGGAGGAAGGAAGCGAAAACAAAAAAATGTGGGAGTGATGAAGCTGGAACAGAGAAGTGGGAGTTTTAAAACTTAAAGGCAGTTAAAAGACAAAGGAAAGGGAGGAAAGAAATGAAATGGAAAGAAAGGTATTAAGACAAAATACATGAAGGCATAAAGAGCGAGAAGAGCTCACCCTTTCACATTTCTCTCCATCCCACTCTCACTACTCCCTCTAATCAGCTGACTATGGGTGTTCACTCCTCTTGTTATCCAATCACACTTTGCCACGATCTCTCATACAATCAGGATGCCACTGCAAAATTTTAAATCTGCTCTCTCTTCTGCTGATGCCAGCCATCATTTTAGGCAGAATCTTCGCACTGGCAGTCACTCACCTTACTTTTTACTTTGCAGTCTCTTATTGATAGTAACAGCCTTGTGCGATTCCTCAGCAGAAACGGAATCATCTCTCACTCATCACGTCCTTCAGTTCAGGCAGTTTCGCCTGTTACAAGTCAGTATTGTCAACACGCAACTTCAGCCTTCGTTTCTATCTCCAGTGTTGATCTCAGTGACATGTGCGAATTCAAGATATTGGCCCAATACTACACGCAACATGATCTGTTTCTTCGGGACACTTTGCATACGTACACCCGGATTGCCAAGCACAGTCCCTGGTTACTCCGGCCAAGTTTTCCACGCACACCTTGCTTCAGTCCCTGGATATGCTTCAGCCTCTGCCTCATCAGCGTCCTCATCAACGCAGGCCTCCATATGCAGCCAGTCACCACATGCAGCCAGCTGGCGTCCACTCCGCAGCCAACGTCCAGCCCGAACCAGCGCTTCATTCTGCCTCCAGTCTCTCCAGCCCCGGTGCACCTGGATCCCTTACGGCAAGAGAGCCGGCGGTTTAAGCCATCTGATCATGAGCTGCCCTCACTGTTTAAATTAAGTGTGTCTCATATGATCTGCCTTCTAATCCATTCAGTACTGCAGACAAATATTATCACTGCATCATTAATATGAAGTGATTTATTTCCTCCTCCTGTCACACCTCGTTTCAATGGGAAAACACTTACCGTAATACTGTAATAGCGGCCTTGATTTTTGGTTCATTGGGTTTCATCAAAGTAAGCATACCAGGCAGGCACACTAAGCCCTCTCCTTTACAATGGTATGCGCTCATTTCAAGAAAAGCGAGTTTTCCTCTTTGTCTTCATTCATAAAAAATAAATAAATTCACATGCGTATCATGGCATTATCTTACCACACTTCCTGTATCATTTCAAATTAAAAGCCCCTCAGCAATTTTTCGGTGTGGGTTTTATTGGTGACTGACAGAGAATATACTATTATCAAGCACAAACAATTAAAAACGCACTCATTATAGTACTCGTATTTACTCACATTCCTTTATTTTCAGGAAACACAGTGTAGTTTGAATGCGTGTCTATGCACATGCTCTCACATCAGCTGTTCATCAGGTGGCCGTTCTTTAAATCTGCTAATATTTGATATCTTGCATTCAATGAGTTATAGTGTTCAGCTAGTCTGTATTAATAAGTAATTAAATGAATGTTTCAAATTGATTAATATATTAGAAAATTGAAAATAAAATAAAAATTAAGAAGGAAGTTGTGTGCTGGAAGCCCTCTAAGGTAACTGAGATCATGATATTGGTACTCATAGATCAACTTCTAATTGAATCAGTTTTACTAATTGTTCAGCCCTTCCAGGATTGCTCTGCGATTTGGCTACAATGAACTTGTCTGACTAATCTGTAAAACACTTCGGGTTTGCCTTTAGGTTTGAAATGTGCTATAGGCCTAAATAAATCCACCTTGCTTTTCCAAGACAGGTTTTGATGAGTAAATAAAAAAATAAATAATAAAATAAAATAAAATACCCAAAGGATAATTCTTGCGCCTCTATTGCAGTACCATCCTACCTCCTTTTCCCTGCTGGGTTGCCTTTTATCATATGCACAGTAATACAGAAGCAGCCATTGGCACGGGGGCATGTTGCTGTTTTGTGCTATGACCTATTTAAGCACTGGAAGTTGTTATTTACCTGCGCTCCAACTGGATGCACATACAATGCCGTGCTGCGCTGCTGTGTGAGCAGCGCGTTTGTCTGTGCGTAACAGTAGTCTTTTTATGGTTACTTACACACTGTCCACAACAATAACTATGTCAGGTAACAAACTGTGCCGGGCTTGGGTCGGGTTTGGTCAGGAAAATGCTCTAGCGTTCTCACCTGTGCGTGTGTGCACATGTCTGTGTGCGCATCAAAACGGAGCCCTCTCCTCTCCTCTTATATGCTTTACTCTCAAGTGTGTGAATTGATCTGGATATGAAGTGTCTGTAGAGCCAAATAATATAACGGTAGTTTCTAAAGAGCTGAGACGGAGGGAAAAAATTTTTAAAAAAGCAGCGGCAGTGTGCCGCTAGTTGCATATAGGGGAAACACTGTACTTCAAATCAGTTAGCCCCCGTTAATCACCAAGCTGTACAGGAACGTAGAAAATGCACGCACTACCATTAATATATTTAAGAAGGCA